GTTTTCATGTTTTTTTGAAAAGCGATTCCGTTATATAATTAAGTAATTAAGAGTTGAAAATATAATTAAAAAGTAAATAATCTACTTAAATTAACTTATTTTTAAATAATTTTTTTATTTAGTTCAGTTTATCTTACTAATCATTTTTAATTGTTCTGATATTGATCGAACATATCAGTTAGAGTGTATAGATATATACTCTGTTTTACGATTCTCGGTACAAACATTGTTTGATATTGTAAAACTTTGTGATTATTCTGTTTGTGTAACCACCTATATCGATGTTAAGAAAATAATAAATAAATAGATGTTTATATATTCACACTGTTTTACAATGCTCTACAAAATTTAATTGGAATCACGTATGAAAAGAGGATCATTACATTGATTAAGCTTGAAGTATGTGGTCCACGTTCCAAAATTGGAAAGTTGCAAAATGAGCAAAGTCGCCAAAGTCCTGAGACCAATTAGTTAGGGAGTTCATCAGAGCTACTCAGGATTCTGAACTCCTAAGTAGCATCGATATAGTTAATTATACAAACAGAATGATCACAATGTTTTATCCAATTCAAGAGAATGAGTGTACATATTTAGTGGCTCTTCTGTATATATCCAATTCAGGAGAACGAGTATACATATATATAGAGGTATTCAGTATTCTTAACCTAATGTCATACAATATGATGGAGATGGTAATAAATAAAGAATTGAAGAAGACCAATTGTATGACATTAGGTCAAGAATATATTTTTTTTTTTCTCATCAGAAAGTAATATTAGAAACGAAGGTGAAATACAGATCGTAATATATAAGCCGGTTAAGGATACGGCAACCATTAATCCACATAGGGGACACCTAATCACAAACCAGGATGAGATACTAACATAAACCGAACTACAACAAGTAAGCCCATTATCCCAAAATTCAGAACTGAAAAGAAAAAGCTAATGATCAACACAAGCTGAACAGCCGGATACCTTGCTGCTCCACAACAGTAACGAAATTTCAAGGTAAAAGAAATATCAACACGGGAGGCTTCTTCCAGAGGGGAAGAATATAATGCAAAAGAGATCATTGCCCTCTTAACCAGGAGTGGACGCAGAAATTTATTTAATATAGGGCACATATTTCTATATATTTTAATTAATAAAATAAATTATCAAAAATATAGTACTAATAACAAAAAAACATCTATATCAAATGAAATAAAAAATTAGACTAATATTATGTGATATAAGATTTTTTTAAAAAACATTCTTACAAAATTACCCTATATTTTTACTATTGGCAAGATACCATGGAAACACAAGCAAAATACAAAACAAAAACAACATATATAAAATCGTGGATTCGAGTCAGTCGGTCACAAGTCTCACCATCATCTGTATCATCATTCACCAATTCAGCTCAAGCTTCCTACTTTGATAAGATTTTGTTTTTAAGATACGAAGAGTGATTCCCAATCTTATATTATTTTGTATATACGTATACTCGTTCTCTTTTTCTTTTAACAGTTCTGACATTTATACATAAAGAATGAGGTATTCCTGAGAATACATGAAGATCGGGATGTTCATTCATTAGTAAATAGTTTAATAAGCGAACTTAGTCTTTGGCCGTGTTATATATTTGAAAAAAAAAATTGAGAGAAAAAAACATGTGAAACAAGGAAACAGCATAATCATACGCAAAAATTTTACGTGAATAATAGTAAGAAAAAAATGGAAAACAATGCCTACGTGAAGTAGACTCGCAAACTTCGGCCATATGACGAAGGGAAATGACTTGAGCAAGACAATCTAAATATCAGTTTCACTTTTAGCTTTCCCATCAGCTAAATAACTTGACCAAGTTAAAATCTAGTTCAAAAAAAAAAAAAATAACTTGAGCAAGACAATCTAAATATCAGTTTCACTTTTAACTTTCTCATCAGCCTTATTTATTAAATTCGTAATCTGAAACTTACGTACTAGTATATAATTCTCAAAAAATAGAAAATAAATAAAAACGTACTAGTATATAATTCTCAAAAATAGAAAATAAATAAAAATAGTACAACTTTCGCCACCGACTGTTTTTGCATTCCAACGATTCCGACAAATGTGTTCTTTTGGAGAGAATATATGCTTCCAAAGTTAATCTTTTTTTTTATTGGAAGACACCGAGGCTGTGAATTTAATTTAATTTGTCTTTTTGTACAAATAAAATTTAAGCTGGGCCACATGTAAATCCATTAATAAGACGGTTTGAATATGTTATAGTTTTTGATTGACAAGCAATATTTTGCAAATTAGCAAGTGCCTAGTACTAGCTAGATCTATAAATTCTCTAAGGAAAAACAGAAACCTTTGTGAGGTTTCATCTTTAGTTCAGGTTCAGAGGTTCCAGCTTTAGTTTTTAACTAGGTAATAACACGCCTTTTATGCAGAGTAAAATAATTATTATTTATTAAAATTTTAATATAGTTTTAATATTATATAATATAATATAAAATAATTAAATTTATATAAATTTTATATAACATTATATTATAATATTGACAATATAGGTTATTTTATTTTTTTATAAAATATAAAGTAATTTTATTATTATATAAATTGATTTAAAATTTAAGTATCAATCATAGCATATGATATAGACTATATCATATAGTTGTGTAGAAATACGAAGTCGCCATATAAAATCTTTATATCCCGCGATTGATGATATGATTTAGCATTTCCACTAATATCTAAGATTTGGGTATACAATAATTGTGTATATATTCAATTACTTTTAGTTTTTAAATAATAATTAAATATTAATAGGTAAATAGTTTGTTACTTATTTACTATATCAAATGAATTAAAGAAAAATACAATTTTTATGTTTTTAATTTGAAGATAACAATTAATTAATGTAAACAACTCTTTTTGTAAAAGAAAAAAAAAATTGATTCTAAAAATATTTAATCGAAAAATATTATTTAAAATCTAATAGCATTTTACTAATAAATCTACATATAAAACATATATTAATCGGAAATCTATTTATTTATTAAAAACAGTATATATTAGTAATAATTTTTGTATATGTAAATGATTATAAACCAGTGATTTGTAAATCTATCTGAATAATTGTACTTCAAAAATTTGAGCATCAAATAGAATTTGAGAACATTCAGAAATTAGAATTTTTTGTAAATCCACCTAATAACCAATAACACGTATTATATGATAATAGAAAAAATACATGATAAAAATATATATCATATTTGTTATGTAAAACTTAAAAATCATATCATTTTCATTCAATTCGCATAATTTTAAAATACACCTCACAATATTAATGGCAGTAAACCACCGATATTAATCTAGCCAAAGTTTCTATACGCATCAAACTTAATTTCATTTTGCATGTGGATAATTGAATATATGAATAAATTATAAATTACAAGTATAGTATATACATAATAAAAAAAATTAAATTTAAAATATAATAAATATGATTCGAGTTTTGATGTGTTTTTGCTATTATTAATCATATAGAAAATGATGTGACATATAAAATTTATCATAATTAGCTTCTATAAAAGATATAGATATAAGTTAAAATATAAGTTTGTCCATCTTATATATTGTTTTCACTCTATACAAAAAATAAATATTAATGACTTATTAGAAAAAAGTGTCACTACTATTTATACTCCAAATCTTTGAATATGTATATCTAAATTAACAAAACAAATTTTAACTAATTGACTAGTAATCAATGATATTACTTATATCTAAATTAAATTATTAAGTTCGTCATAAATAAAATTACTTGTATTATTAACATATATCAAACACAATAGAATTGTTTTCAGCTAAATTAATGAATTAATATTGTTAGTAAGTTATCTAAAATTATATATAAATGAGTCAATATTTAAAAACTATTAAGCTTTTGATCTAATAAAAATATTTTTAATATCAAAAAGTTTGACTAAATTATTATATAATATCTTAACAATTTTTTTAACTTTTTAACCAAGTTATTTTGTTTGTATAGATTAAAACTTTATAATATTTCACTTTCTTACCAAAATTAAAATATACATAATATTATATTTTTCAATATATTTAAGTATTTCTTATATTTTGAATTTTTGATTTAAATATTTAAACTTTTTTTTATCAAATTTATATTATATGGTTAATCTATATGGAACTATAAAAACTATATCAAAGAAAAACAAAATTAATATTAATGTCAATTAAATCAAGCTTCCTACTTTTATAATCTTCTTTTCGCATTTATGTTTTTTTATAATAATTTATAAACCATATATTGATCTACATATCTTCATTTCTAATGTAAGACTTTTTAAGCCTACTTTTATTTATTAATAATTTGAGTAATTTATTTTTATTTTTAAAAATCTGAATTATAACACATGTACAAATAAATCTATATATTTTTTACTATATGAGTGATGTGATAATTTATTTATTTTACAAAATAAATTTAAATAAAAATAAGAGAGAAAACTACATTTTGGGAAAATATGTAATTAAAGCAATAATTAATATGATATATTTTAATAAATTAAATGTTGATTTATGTATAAGTAATTGATATAAAGTATTGTATAATCAGATTAATGTGAGTAGCAAAACATATAATTATTCTAGTAACAGTAGTCTTTTTTCAAAAAAATTATGAGAAGCTCTATGATAATAATATATCAGCAAAATGATACTACTGTAATTATTTACAAATTTAAAATTATTTTCTAAAAATGCTTTTCAATTAATATATCAGAGATGGATTTGGAGATGGGAGCGTCCTGTTTCAGAGGTGACGACAATACCGAATTTAGACAACTTTTCTTATCAAAATCCATTCTTTTGGATTATAAGTGTTGTAGAGAAACATGTAACAAGGCTCTACAAATTTAGATAATTTGGGTGTTTGAAACCACATTGCACGTACACAAAGACAGTTAAGAGATTTGTTCATACCCATAAAAATAATTGGCCTAATTAATTGTTATGTTGTTGACTAATCATATCAGGAACATAAACCATATTACATTTTGTCCAAAACTAATCAAACATACGAAGTGTCGTCATATTTCCAAGGCTGGTAAAGAAAAAACAAATGAAATTTGATACCGCAAAAGTAAAAAAGAAGTTAGAGAGGTGTGGATTTTTGCATTGCACCAAACAAGAAGCGTAGCTTAAAAAATAATCTAAAATCCAATAAATATAAAAAATGGGACAATGCTACACTATTTGGTTACTCAGTATCTTTAGCAGGTCCCAAGTAAATTGTGTAGCTCACGGAAATGATAATGAGCAAACACCCAACAAGGCGGCTAAACAAACCTGTCGAGACTGCTTTTCGGGTACCAATTATCCAAAACTGCGATAACACCACCTAACACAAGAAGGACACAACTCAATATTAAGTCTTTCTGATTCCCACCGCTATGTACCTAACCGATCTTTATCCAATACCGAGAACTAATGGGCGGCATTCGATTATTCAGTTCAGTTTAGTTCGGGTATTCGTGTTTTGCTATTTTTCGGATTCCATAAAATCATTTGGATCAAACTATAGTTCAAATCAATTCGGGTTTCTTGGGTTCTTAAAGTAATTTCCATTCAAAATCAAATTATGGTTGTTTCGGCTTTAGAAACAAACTAAGATATTGGCCCGCACGCATGTGCAGGCATGAACAATTTTAAAAATGTAACTATTTAAATACAATATCTAAATCCATTTTAAATATTTTAATTTTTTGTAGTATATGAAACTCAAGATTAATGTTTTGAATTATAAGACTTTAAATTAAGTAGTAAAGTATGATCTAATTTTAACTAAACATTTTGTTATAACAAAAGGTTCATTTATATTTTGAAACAGATTTGAAAAATGATAATTAAATTTGAAAAACACAAAAATTATTTTTTTATGATCAGACTTTGTAAAACTTGATCCATTATGTTAGAGGGTCAAATGGGTCAAATGGGTCAAACTCGTGGATAGCTGGTTATCTTCTTCAGATTTGCGGATCAGGCTGCAAATTTTTTTTTTTTTTTTGAACAAACATTTTTCATTTTCTTTGTCTTTCTATAATCTTCCTCAATTTAAAGTCTTATTTCTTCAAAGATTATGTCATTGTTGGTCTCGATCTACTCAAATATGCGATTTTTCTACTTATAATTTTATCAAGTAGACTCTACAAATAATTGCAAGACCATATTCACTTAAGCATCAAGTGCTTCAATTAACTCTATTGCAAAACATGTTTCAGTGAAGGTTGGATATAAAACTCTATTTACTGTCCTGATATCTTCGAAACATATTGGTCTTCTCTGAACATTTAGCAACAGTTCAAGGTAGAATAGCTCACCATATTCTTCCAAGACTTCTGGAAGGCTGATATCGTAGGGAACATTATTTTTTCTATTGCAAGGGAGCCACTTCTGATTTTTTTTTTTATGTCAAACCCATTAGTTTGGAAATTCAGTATAGCGATAAAACTTTGCTTCATTACACTCACGATTAGAGTCTATACAACCTTTAAGTTTCATTTTAGCTATATTCAATTTAGATAAATGGATTGGTAGAATTGTCATGCCCGCACTTTGAGTTAAAGGTTTGATTTGTTTGATACTCATGTGTGTTGTAATGTTTTCTTATATAAGGATCCGCCTATGTAACTTTTTCATTAGTTATTTGGGATGAACGTAATTTTATATGGATCTTTTTGGTTTTTGTTAAATAGACATTAAACTTTTCAAATAATGTAAAAGATAATGATTTTAGTTTTTCATTAGATGCATGTTGATTTTTTAGGATATTCAACGTTTGTTACGAAAAATAATGTAGACGATTATTAAATCGAAATCTTAAATTTATATTTGTTATTATTTTTAAAATAACTAATATTTTAAAATTTTTAATGTTTTACAAAATATCACAATAATATCTTATTTTGTTATTATAATTTTGCCAACTAAAGTATGTTAAAACATATGTGCTCGTAAATGGAGCACTGCTTTTACAAAAAAGTATGAATTATTAGGTAAGCGATTTGATCAATGTGATTTTGTTATTATAATTTTGCCTACTGAAGTATATGAAAATATATGTGCATGTATTCTATATGAATATACTATTATATATATATATGAAAAGTCACAATGGTCCACGAAAGAGTTATAGTAAATTTAATAGGTATATAATATAGTATTATTCATAATATTATAATATATATATATATTAAAATCATCGCGTTCATCCCAAAATTCATATACTATTACTCATATAGATGAATAATAATATCAGGCCATTCGTAATGCATCCGGCGAATAATTCCAGATTTACTTATTAGTACACTAAATTTTCTCATCTAATTAAATTTTTATTAATAAAAATATCATAAAAAACCTTGTTGTCATGTTATAAACCACATGTGTTAGTAAATGTCATGTCACAATTACATTATCATTTACATGACACATTTAATTAGGATAAAGAAAAGATTTTAACCAATCAAATTAAAACAAATCAGCATTTTTCATTAAACTACAATCTCAATTAATAGGTAGAAAATTTATAATGAAAAAACAAAAAAGATTAAATATGATTCGGGTTTAGACCAAAATTTTAAATAAAAGCAAAACTAATTGTGAATTGGCCAATGTTATACAACCAAAAAAACGGTGTTTAAAATGGTTATATGCATAACCGAAGATGAAGATCGCCTCAAATGGAATGCGAAAATTAGAGCAAATTAGTTTAAAAAATCCATTTGAGAAAAATTATAACCGAAGATGAAGATCGCCTCAAATGGAATACAAAATCTCAGATGAAGATCGCCTCAAATTGTGGATTTTGAATAATTTAATTATATTCTTCTAACTACTAACATTAATTTTTCTAATGAAATCGATTCAGTTTTTGTTCGGGTTAGGATCCAGTAATTCGGTTTACAAATTCCGGATACATTTTGGTTATTTCATAATTCGGTTCGGGAATCTTGGGTTCGGGTTCGGGAATTTTGGTTCGGTTCCCGAACTTTTCACAGCCTAAAAATTCAAACCGAAACCCTCAACACTTAGGAAGTGGAACTCTACCTCGATGTACAATACGTTTGCAGCTTTGCCGATTTTCTCAAGCTGAAGTCCCCGAGCCAAAAGTACCTTGATAAAACAATAGAAACCATACTCAGAATTCTAGTTATACGAGTTGCCTTCTATGCAGAAGCAGAATGTTATCGAATGCCTCACCTCTGCGCAAAACGCAAGCAAGCCTAGTACAATCATGCTAAAGAGCGTCTCAAACGTTGGCAGCACAAAGCTCTGTATTCAAGGATAGGGTTCTTGAGTATGAGTAATGATCAAGCAACACTATTTGTACTTATACACAAAACATACCTCCAAAGAATACATGCAAATTGCTGCAGCGGGGCAAGCTACTAAACCAAACGAGAGGACAGTAATCCTGAGACAATGCACTGTCGTTTTAGTGATTTCTTCCTAACTAAAGAAAAACAGAACATGTATGGTTAATGACACATATGGATCTTAAATCTCACACTGGCTGTTCCGATGCTTTAGCAGCTGCCTTTATAAGACAATAGCTGGATCCTCCAGTGATTGATGAAAAGAAACCCAACAAGACGGCATAAACATGATGGTTTCCTTTAAGATTATCATACCTTCCTTCTGATCCAACTGCTAAGAGAATATACGTGAATCAACATGATACCAAGGTGCAGTTATATAAACATATAACGTGAATCAACATGATACCAAGGTGCACTATCTTGTAAACTCACTTCTGTACCTTGGACAGTAAGCGTTGGGCCGAAAATAAAAACCACACCAAAGAAACTGCAAGCAAGACCTGTACCAATGCGGAAAAAAAAACAATTAAACATAGACTTGCTTTGTTGTTAGTTCACAATGCATAGCAGGAGCTAAAGCTTAAGGAAAAACTTCTTTTCTCCGCACCTCCAATATCAGTTATTTTCAACTTCTCATGAAGAATCACACGTGCTGCAATGGAAGCCATAACTGGATTCACAAAGCTTAGTACAATAGCTTGGGACAAGGGCAACATTTGTATGCTGTGGTTCACATTGTCAATACCAAATTGATTAGTGGGGAAAGGAGACTATTGCTATTTTTTTTTCCTCAGAAGTATTCACTAGTTAACTGAAATTAGGTTATGATGTACACACGGAACAGAGTGTGAGTGTAATTACCTAAAGATGAAACTAAACAATGAAAGATAACCCAAAAGAGCTCTTGAAAGCAAAAGCTTCCTGGCGTGAGCAGGTCCGAAAATCGGTTGTCCGATTCTTTCCAACCAAAGGTACGATAGTATCAAGATGATTGTGGATCTCAAGAACGCGGTTTCAAACAAAGGAATCGGCTGAACTGTCATAAACAAAGGAAATTAGAAAGAAAAATCAATCAATATACATGCCAGCTCAAAGCAACAAATTGACAAAACTAAAAAACGCTAAAGGACTCGGAGTAAGCGAAGTTTGCACTCGGTCTAAGCAGACAGATTCCGCTTCAACTAGAAGAGACAAGTTATTAAACAGTTCCACTGTTCCAGAAAACTAAAAACCCAATATAGATTCGCTCAAACATGTGAAATAAAACAAGATACAGCAATAATTTCAACAGTTGTAGAAGTAATCATTTTTTAGCCTTCCCGAAAAAGCTCTTAATCATCTTACACAAATACTATGAAACTGAGCACAAAGATGAAAATCTATCAATATAAATGCCAGCTCCAGGCAACCCACAGTAAAATGCTGAAGGAAGAGGTGGTTTAAAGTTAAGCTTGCACTCAGTCTAAGCAGAATTTCGATGACATCTAGAGAAGACAAGTTACTAAATAGGTCCAACGTTTCAGAAGCTCCAATATAGATTCCCACCATAGGTCCGAGTTACTAAATAGTTTCAACACTCGAGAAGAAGTAACCATCTTACACAAAACGATGAAGCCGAGCACAGAGATGAAGAAGTCACTGACCAGAAAAAGTATCTGAGACTAACTCCATAACGAGGTACAGTATCGAAGACAAGGCCATACACAGTAAGCCAGAGTAACGAGACCCACTCCAAACCCATGAAGAACACCGAGTTACAGGTGATAACTCCGTTTCATTTACTTTAAACACTTGCTCCTGAAATTACACACATCACATTTACAAATCAACACTACACAGAGCAATCCGAGAAAAAAGCAATTGCTAAAATCTGATCTCAGTTCTTATCAGCAGAAGCAAAACATTCCATAATTTCCAGTTGAATCATATAACTCGCGAAATATCGAATTTCAGCTTAATGATTTATCCGTTAAAGCCAGAGTCGGTGATATTTTCTTACCCTGGGTTTATTGCGTCGAGTGTAGGAGGCGGAGAAGATGTTGAACCTGGGTCTTTGGTTCTGATGATTCAGGAGAGGGATGATTTCGTCGGAAGCTAACGCAGAGGCGGAGGCGGATTTTTCCAAATCGTGAGAATCAAGATCTCGGACGGTAAGCTCAAGCGTTAGGTGGTGGTCGTCATCGGCGATTCTGGTCTCCGTAGAGGAAGAAGCCATGGCTACGAAGACGAATCAATGGCTGGCTTACCCTTTTCTCGTTCAAAAGAAGATCCCGATTGCCTGGTTATAAAACTGATATATATATTTATCTAATTATTTTAATACTAAATTTTATTGATTTACTCTTCTCTTCTTTTCTATTTTAATTAATTACAGATCCAACCATTGTTCAATTGGATCAAATCTACCCACAAGAGATTCAAATCCAAAATCAATCCAATTTCGATAACATGGATCGATTAAAACTTTCAAAATCTTTCACTCTTTTCAGTTTCCAGTTTAAACCATCGAGTGCAAAACTGAACGGATTCAAACTGAACAAACACAATCTTTGCTAAATTCAAGTCAGTTCCATTCGTCTTAATATTCGCCAATTTCGTAATTTCGTATCATCTTCTTCCTCTTTCTCCTCTGAATTCCTTCCCCTCCTCTTCTCTTCCCCCTTTAATCACTTTACTCTCTGAATTCTTCAACTCTCACTCTCCTCTTTCGCTAAATTCCAAGCGAGATAACAATGGCGTCTAAAGGTATGTTGAATTCCAGAATTTTTCTATTGTTTCCCCTCTAATATATTGATCGAGAACAGACATGAATTAAGGAAATATATAAACTGGATTTTCTTTTGCAATTCAATAATTTTCATTATCATGGACTCTGATTTTATTTACCCATCGGCTTTTGTCTATTGATGCCTTAATAGTTACGAACTTCTTGTGCTATTGTAGGAGTTAGTGTGGATCCATCAAGAACAAGAAAGAAGCAGCATCAGAATCTTGGCGAAGGAAGCAGCCTCAGAACCGGATTGGTCAGAACCTTGACGATCTCTGATGATGAGGAGAACCATACGGTATGTAGTTAGATGAATTATTGTTTAAACAAGTATGTAGTACGTTGTAAAATTTTTTGAAAGTCATAGTATTTCTAAAAATAAAAGTAACACTTGGTAAAACTTGAATTAGTTGCTCATAGTATTTCTAAAAATCAAAGTAACACTTGGTAAAACCTGAATCAGTTGCAGGATTCGATTGAAACGGAACCAATGTAGCCTATGCGGATGTACTTTAATCAGACTGAGTACAAGAAACAGGTGAAGATATCGACCAGGTGTTACATTCACAAGGCGGTTAGTACGATAAATTCTTTCAATCTTACCATTGAAGAGAGGAATTGGTTTCACAACCACCCACAATTCAAGCATTTCTTCCATATGTATGACGACTCAAACCACAAGGTTATGGGCATATGGATGTTCCTGCTTCGAACGGCTGAAGTTGAGAAGAGAAGGGAGGCTTGGTTCATTGTGAATGGCGTCCCAGTTAGGTATTCTCTCAAAGAACACGCTCTGATTTCTGGATTAGATTGTCATATCTATCCAGAAAACTATAGCCAACTGGGGGGTATGAAATTTGCTGAAAGACAGTTTGGCAGAGGAACAACAATCACTTGTGCAAAAGTGCATGAAAAGCTGTTGAAGATGAAGAAACCACATCCAGATAGGTTGAAGATGTGTGTGTTGTACTTCCTATGTAGCGTCATAGTAGGGAAGGAAAAAACTGGAGCGGGAGCACCCTCGGTTGAGAAGTTCTTCATAAGAGCTGTGGATGATCTTGAGCTCTGTAAGACTTTTCCTTGGGGGAGATTCTCGTTTAATGAGAATCTGAAAGATATCCAGAAAGCAATGGTTGATTATAAAGGGGTCGTCGCTAGAACATACAAGCTTCCAAGTTTCTGTACTTCTTTGGAGGTAAAGATTATTCATTGCACCTTTATTCGCTTATTCCTAGTTATTAATTGAGAGATATTGTCTAAGTATCGAATTATATGTATTATGTGCAGATGCTAGCCTTTGAGGCAATTCCGGTGTTGAAGAAGACTTTTCGAGAAGACCATAAAGGCGCAGAGAAGAGCTGCCCTCGCATGTGTAAGAGCAAGTTCAAGTCATATGCTATGAAAGGATTTCCTCTTTCGGAAATATATGAAGCACTTGGTACAACTAAGGTTAGAAATTTAAACTTAGTTATCGTTTGCAAATTGATGATTTATGTTTAATCTACACTAGAAATCTAAACTTTATTGTACTTACAGGATATTCATAGTGTGTTAGTCCCATCTGCTGAAGAGCAATCTCTTGTAGATGGAATATTGGAAAATGGAGATGAGGAGGATGTATATGATGTCGTCGTTGATTGTTGGATGAAGCTTATCTCTAAAGACAAAGCGATTTGTTTTCAGAAAATGTACAATGATGACAAGAAAGAAGAGGAAGGTGAGGAGCATGTCGAACCGCTAGAGGTAGAGAACGAGGACAATGCAACCAAGGAAAAGTGCGAGAAGAAGAAAGCCGTGTTCGAGTATGAGGAGAATCCGGCCAAGTTCATCCATGGGGAGAATGCAGCCACTATTAGTATGGTAGTTAGGCTGGAGCTTGCGATGGACAAAGGGTTCAAAGAGATCAAGGAGAAGATTGGAGAATTTAGCACAAGACTTGTAGCAGTGGAAGGATATGTGAAAGAACAATTAGAGGGGAGGAGGTTGTTTGAAGGCATGGATTACCAGTATAATGAACCTGAAAAAGTGGTCGAGAAATCTCAAGTTAGAGAAGCCTTAGGCAAGGAGAAGGTAACACTTTGATTTGAGATTAGAAAACAAAAAGTAGTATTTGGTAACACTAGTATAACTATGTGTTTTTGCTTTGCAGGCGAAATCTGCTGAAGAGAAAACACAGGAGACTTCTCAAATAGCAGAGGAGGAGACGTCGATAATTACTCCGTCTGCAGAACCAGCAGCAACTCTGGAAACAGGTGTTGTGGTTACAGATAAAGAGGAGAAGGTAACACTTTGATTTGAGATTAGAAAACAAAAAGTAGTATTTGGTAACACTAGTATAACTATGTGTTTTTGCTTTACATTCGAAATTTGCTGAAGAGACACCGCAGGAGACTTCTCAAATAGCAGAGGAGGAGACGTCGATGGTTACTCCATCTGCAGAACCAGCAGCAATTCTGGAAACAGGTGTTGTGGTTACGGATAAAGAGGAGAAGGTAACACTTTGATTTGAGATTAGAAAAAAAAAGTAGTATTTGGTAACACTAGTATAACTATGTGTTTTTGCTTTGTAGTCGAAATCTGAAGAGACACCGCAGGAGACTTCTCAAATATCAGAGGAGGAGACGTCGATGGTTACTCCGTCTGAAGAACCAGCAGCAATTCTGGAAACAGGTGTTGTTTTTACGGATGAAGAGGAGAAGGTAACACTTTAATTTGAGATTAGAAAACAAAACTTAGTATTTGGTAACACTAGTATAACTATGTGTTTTTGCTTTGCAGGCTAAATCTGCTGAAGAGACACCGCATGAGACTTCTCAAATAGCAGAGGTGGAGACGTTGATGGTTACTCCGTCTGAAGAACCAGCAGCAACTCTGGAAAGAGGTGTTGTGGTTACGGATGAAGCGGAGAAGGTAATACTTTGATTTGAGATTAGAAAAAAGTAGTATTTGGTAACACTAGTATAACTATGTGTTTTTTCTTTGCAGTTGATAGGGTCAGGTTTTATCCAAATAAAACTACTGCAAGTGCACAGCAAAAGCAGTTGTAGTACAAAGGGTTATCGAATCCCAAGGGAGTAAGTCAACTACACTAAAGAGTTCAGGTTCGGATTAAGCTAAACGATAAGTAATGAATGTAATGCGAAATAACTAAAGTAATAAAAGCAAGTGGGCATTTTTGAGACTGTTCTTAAAGTTCAGAAGGCTAAAGGCGCTAAGTCAGGACAGTTCGCAGGTTGAATCCGAGAGTGTAGAATGCATGCAATCAGGAATGAATTAAAACCGTCTTGAACATGAATCGCAAAGATATAACTAATCAATTCTCATTGAAGAAGTTATCTATGTCTAAATCACAGAGTTTCAAATCTCTTTGCAAACCCTAACAACCTAAACATGCAGTAATGATCAGGTTCAATTGTTCACAAAACTCCTAAGCCAAATCTCTTTGTACTAGGGCGTTTTGCTCATCAAATACTAGTTCAGGTGATTAATAATACTCTCACATCTATCAAAAACCTAGGGTTTCGAAATCTAGATGATGTGTCTAAGAAATCGATATGAATGCAAGCACAGATGAAAAACCAATGAATTTCCTATAAGTTTTTAGCAATTCTACAAACTCTTCTTCAACCTTTGAAAAGCCCTAACTTAACTAACAAACTACTCAGACATGGTGATTTGAGAAAACATCATGAAAAGAATATATTGCATAAAAGAAATAAGAAGTAGAAATAAAGGAGTTCAAAATCTGCTCTGAAGGAGTCTGATTTGTCTCTCCAAAAGCTTTGCTACAAATCTCTCTCTAAAGTTCTCAAAAATAATAAGATACAAGATATATGCCAAAAGAATGGCTGAAAAACCTAATATACAAGCTAAAACACGATCTGGGGTCTTTTTGCAAATACTAGAACTTCTGGGCCAAAACTGCAATTTCTTCTCAATCTTTTAAAAACAGGCCACGATCCCTTCCTTTCTGGGTGACGAGCGTCACCAGATTGGTGATGAGCGTCACCCATATGCATACTTTTCTTCTTCGAGCTAGGTACTTCGTGGCTTCAATTCAGAATGCTTCAAAAGGCTCAAATATCTCCAATTATGCTCCAGACATGCTATAACCCGCAAAGACTCTTCTAGGACTCTAAAAAGACCAAAAAGACTCAATAAAAATGAATTATATTATGGTTAAAAACCATAAAAACCATGATATATCAGCAGTCGACTTCTCAAATAGCAGAGAAGGAGGCGTTGTTGGCTACTCCGTCTGCAGAACCAGCAGCTAATGTGCCTGTTGCAGTAAAAAAGCCAGAAAAATCTGCGATTTCATTGGAGAGATGTAGCTCGGTGAGGAAGGTAGGAGATCAGAAGGTGAAGTTCATTAAGAGGACTAGAACATTGCATGTGAGCTATCTTTCCGTTCTGATAAGAATTTGAAGCCGTGTTAGCAATGATAACAATTGAATCTTTATTGTCATTGCAGGAACAAGAAATAGTGCCAAAGACTTACAAAAGA